GCCCGGCACCTCGAGATGAACAAAACAGAAGCCTCATCTCCTGTCTTGCTTTTATGTGCTAATCTGAGGTTACTTCTCCCTACAGGCAGCATACCTGCTGCTAAAGCCCTGGGTTTCTGTGCTTTAATGTGGCACTGGTTAGGACAGCAATAGCAATTTTGTTTTAAGCTCTTTTTGTTGCTCTAGATGTAATTTATTTTCAAGTACGCAGGCGCTCGCCACTGTGAGGTAAAATGTAACTTGTTATTTATAGCTGTGTTTTAGTTGGTCTGGAATTCAGGAGTATTACCCAATTTGTCATGGCCTGGATGCAGGGTGTGGGCACCGAACACAGAATCGAGAGACAGACTAAAGAAAGCTTGAAGAAACATGTGGAACCACTATAACAGCAAATGTTTTTTCTATCAGGCTTGAGTTTTATTTATTGATTGTATTTCTCACGTCAAAAACGTGATGAGGCATTTCATGAGTGTGGGAAAGTTTTGGTTCAAGGCAAGAGGTGCTACTCTGGAGAGCAGCAGTAATAACAAAGCTAAAAGACTTATGTTGAAACAGAATGCTTTCCCCTTTCACAACAATACTGTGGTTTTTTTCTTTTTTTATCTCCAACAGTTTTCTGACACAGGCAGCAGAAAAGAACATGTTAAAATCACAAGTGAGTCCAAACCAGGGTTCCTGGAGAGGCTCAGCGAGACTTCTGGAGGCATGTTGATGGGACTGGTGACGTTTCTTCTGTCTTTCTATCTTCTTTTTACCAATGAAGTAAGTGAAATACTGTCAGTGTTTATACACAGCTTTAAATGGTCATAGCTGAGGTGATATTCAGCTAGTGTTGCATCTAGAGGCTGTCTTGGTTTCAGCTGGAACAGAGTTAACTTTCTTCATAGTAGCTTGTGTGAGGCTATGTTTTGGATTTGTGCTGAGAAGGTGGCTCATAGTGGACTGATGTTTATAGTTGCTGCCAGGACAGTCAAGGACTTTTTGGCTTCTCTGCTTTGCTGGTGTCTGCAGGTGCAGGAGAAGCTGGGAGGGAGCACAGCCCCAATTACTAGCCTAGAATTCCACCTTAGGTTTACGATCGAGACCCAGATTGGCCAGTGGTCTATCCCATATCATGCACGTCATGTCCAGTGTATAGATGAGGCTCTGTCCAGAAGCTCTCTTGCTCTTTGGATCATCTCACTCTCTCAGTCTCTTGGACACTCAGGCTCTTATCTCTTTTCCAGGATTGTGGTTTTGGGACTCTCCCAGCTCCAGGATTGTTAGCTGGGAACAGGATTAGCCTTGGTCATTGGGTGGTGATCAGCTTCACTGTGTATCACTCATTTGTATATTTTTACCTATTATTATTATCAGTATTAATGTAGTTTAGTTATTAAATTGTTCTCATCTCAACCCACGAGTCTCTTTTCCCTTTACCCCTTTAATTCTCTCCCCTGCCCCTGGGAGGGGGGGAGGGTGAACAAGCAGCTGTGTGGAATTTGCTGCTAGCTGGGTTCAAAACCACTACAGAGGCTTACTAAAATGGTCATGTTAAAGCTTTATTACTTCATACATGAGAAGAGGACGTTATGTCCGGAGAGCCTGGTGCTTATGCTTGGAATATAACAGAAGAGTGAAATCACAGGGCCACACATAGTGTTTCTGTAGAACTGAGTGTAGTAGAGATAGTGGCAGTGTGTGAGGAGAGATAAGGTCCAAAACTTGTGAGCTGATGCAGAAACAGGATGTAGTAAACAGGGTTGTGTGAGACAGCCATACTCCAGTCTTCTATCTTTTCTGGGGATAACATAAGGTATTCATTTCTAGTGTTGTTATAATTGCATTACAGGAACTTATACTCCGTGTTGCAAAACTGAGGGTGTTAATTGTTATCGGTGTTATTTTATGTCTTGGTTTTAAACTGAAAAAATAATTAATCAGGGAATCCTAACGCCCTACTGTTGCAAACATACATGCTTTTGGCAGTTTTGGAGTAGGAAGGCAGAATTCTGTGAGTTTTCACCTAACACTTCCTTTTATACCTCTAGATGAGGAAAAAGAACTCCCAAGTTCAGTGACTTAGCAGGAAAAAGCCCACTGTAACATGATGGTAAAGAAAGAAAAGGTTCTGCCAAGTAGTCATGTGGGTCTGTGGAAAAAGGACCATAATTGGCATAATTTTTGCAGTTATTAATGAATGATGAACAAGGTAAGAGGTGAAGAGCAATAACTTTAGACACTTGTAGAAATAATCTATGTGTGTTTGAGGAGCTTAGTCAATGTTAATGGTACTGCTGCATGGGTAAGAAGCGCTGCCCCAAACTGTGTCAGACACAGAGAATGAGAGAGTGGAGGAGTGTGTTTCAAGAATATACCTCAAGGCTGAATCATTAAGAAGAATCATTGGAATCATTAAGGTTGGAAAAGACCTCAAGGATCATCAAGTCCAACCATCAACCCAACACCACCTAACCCACTTATATACAATAATATACAAGCATTCCTTGCAGTCTTTACATCACTTGTCTGCTAATGTTTTTCACAAAATACTGCTGTGCCATTGATTCTCCACAACTTGATTTTGCATTTCTTGATTGCAGGGACGAGCTTTAAGGACAGCCAAATCTCTTGATGAGGGACTTTCTCTTGTGATCCCTCTTGACAGCATCCACAGTGTGTCTCAGCAGAATGAAGGGAGACTGGTGCACTTAGCTGGCGCTCTCAGTACATCTAAGGTAAGTAAAATACCTTCAAGATGTAAGTATTTCAAGCTTGGAGGGAAGGAAGAGTCTTTGCTGATTAACATTCTGTTTGATATCCAGTGAGAAGATGTGTAGCTTCCCTCCTCCTCTGTAAGCATTGCTGGCTACCACCCACGTTTTGGTTCTTGGCCTGGAATCAGGGAGATGCCTTGGTCTCCCTACTCCCAAGCAACATGCCACCCCCAGCTGTGTTTACCCGCCCATTGCCTTTGGTGGATAACTTCAGTTCCCCTTTGCATATGGAACTTGTTATGTGCTCATGATACTGTAGTCTTCAGGCTCTTGCAGTACAGAGGTTCTGCAAGTTCTGACTTTTTCAGTAGTGATGACATCTTCTGTGGTCAGCCTGCATTGTAGAAGGTGGTAACACAGCACAGTAGCTTCCAACAAAATAAAATCTCCCTCTGGTTTAAACACTTAAGCCTGCATACCCTTAGCCAGCGTTTCTGGTTTATATTCTTCACTATGGCAGTAATTTCTGATGACAATTCTTTAGGTCAGATTTATCAGTGATATGAAGAGATGCCCTTTTTTGTCTTTAATAACATTTATACTATATTCAACTGTGTGTAACATAGTACTGTTTACAGTGAGGTATGTAAATGGGTTCAATAATAAAAGTACAGTGTTTGAGAGTGTGAGGTACAGCACTTACACTGACTTGTATTTTCTTTAATTTTTAAATAGCCTTTGTTTGATCCCAGCTATGGGCTCTCCATCCAGGCTGTCAAACTTAAGCGTAATGTGGAAATGTACCAGTGGGTAGAGTATGAAGATTCCACGTAAGTGAAAGTAGTATTTTGAAGTTGTTTGTAAAGCTGCTGTATTAACAGGATCTCATCACAATTCTTTTTTTTCTCTCCCCACACCCAAAGTGAAAAAACAGCAGGAGAATTCTAGAGCTCTTGGGTTTTTTTAGAGAATTGCTTTAATTTCCTTGGAGATGTCAAGTCTTATAGATAGTAAATGCTGCAGAATTTGCATCTGATAAAAATTGGGTAGCATCCAAGGTCTTTTATCAAATGTTTCCACTTCCTGATTTTATGTAACTTAATATGGCATTTCTTGGCCTCCATGCTGCAGCTGTGTTTTTTTGTTTTCATTATTGTTGTCTTGATGCTAGGCCACCTCAGAGCCCATTGATCTACTTTCTGTCATATGTGTTGTCAACAGAATTCAAAGTTCTTTACCAATTTATGAAAAAAAAATAGAGAACACAAGTCTGTAAAAGACTTGTTGATTTAGGTCAGCTTGTCTCACTGTCTGATACTGGTTGTTCTGCATTAATCTAGTCAATGCCCCCTTATTGGCAACGTGGGAATAAAAGGGTTGTGCCTATTTAGCATTTGTGTGTAGTTTTCTTCTTGTACAGAGAATCTATGTCTTCAGAACAGGTAGTTCAGAGAAGAGTTAGTTTACTTGTAAAGATCAGTTTGTGTTGCCAGTAAGCTGTCTGTGAATTTCATTTGTAAAATGTATTCTGCCTGGAGCAGGGGTGTGTGTGCTCTGTTTTGGTTCTCATCCCACCCCTTTTCTCTGCAGGGAATATGAAGAGAATGGTGAGATTAAGAAAGAGACAAAGTATTCATACAGTAAGTTGATCAACAGAAAGTCCCTTTTCTTTGTAACTTTGTACTTTTATGTGTGTGTATTTTGATTTTTGTTGTAAACCTTGTATTTTCTTGTTGCTAAAGAAAGGAATGTGCAGAAATAAGCAAAAATTCTGTTTCCTAAACAAATGACAGAACCTTCCTTTCTTGAGGTAAGTGAGTTGAAAGGAGCTGTGCTGTTAGCAAGCAACTACTACAGAAAATCTAAGTCTTCTCTTGGAACTCCTAGAGGTTCAGAGCAGCATCCAGGAACAGGATGCTCCAGAGACAGAGCCCATAAGGTCCTCAGGGACAGGAGATGGGCAGAGATGGGTGTGTGCTCAAAGCTATGCCTGGGATTTCTCTTAAGTGGAGTAATGGGGCATATGTCAGGTGTGAGCAGAAGAAAACAGGGAAGAACAGTATTGCTTCAGCCTGTAAGACAGCCTGTTGAGAATCTGTTTAGGTGTTGATACCCGCTAATGAAAACCACCAGCACCTTCTGATATGTGCTGTGGCTTTTGGCAGGAGCAGAACTGAAAGCATTATTCTGATCTACCCACTGGCAGAAAAACACTCTGAGTCATCGTATATCTGGAGATTCGTCTCTGTGTTTCACTTGTCTCTGATTAAAGCACATGGACATGTAACGTGTGTGTGTGCAGCAGTTTCTGGGTGTGATAATAAAAATACCCCAGCTCAGTGAAGCATGGGACCTGCAGCATGGAAATACATAAGGAGCAAAGCTAGTGGTTGTGAGCTGTGAAAAACAGCCTTATGGTGGCAGGGAACAGAAAGAAATGCCATTTAAAAACACAGCTGCCCTCTCAAGATTGATGGATTCCGTCCAGTAAAAGTCTGTGTATTATTAGATGTGGTGGGTTAGGCTTGGCCAGCAGCCAAGGGCCCACACAGCTGCTTGCTTACTTTCCCCCTCATTGGGACTGGGGAAGAGATTGGGAAGAAATTAGTGAGAGAGCTTGTGGGTTGAAGGGAGATTGCTTACCAGTTACCATTGTGGGTGAAACAGACTCAACTTGGGGAAAATTAACTTAATTTACTGTCAATTAAAATAAATATTTAATTACTGATTCAGGTGTTGGCAAAACACATTTGCTCTCACCCTTTTCCAGGCTCAACTTCACTCCAGACTCCTCTCCCCTTGCCCCCCTTGCCCTTGTTATCACCAGAGGTCACGCTCACTCCCTTTAGTGGGGCAGTGAGCGGTGCAGGGGGTGGGAGCAGGTTTACAGTCAGTACATAGTGGTTTCTCTCTGCCA